ATTCATTATATAAACCTAAACGAACCATGGATATGTTTTCTTTTTTTTATCATTGACATACATTCGACAACTTTTTGTTTGCTATGCATAGAAACAATACTCTGAATTGTATGCAGAAAAGAGTTTGTATTTGTACAAAGTATACTTGAGCGACAACTTTCATTCGCGCAGTACATCAACAATCAGCAAATAATGCATGCCACATTGTCAACGTCCTTTATTAATTTTTTTTTTCAACTTTTAATAAACACAGAACAGATGAAATTCAGATGAAGTAGTGTTGAGTCAACGCACGTTGCCAATCTTTTGGCATTGTCAACGCAACGAGGAAACGAAATTTTTACGTGTTGTAGTGCAGAGTTATGACTAACGACGTTAACAAAAAGCATTGTCAAGACAGAAAATATTGAACAGTTGATCAGCACATTCTAAAACTATTTTCATGCAAGACTAAACTTAACTTTGTTCTCATCAGTGGAGTTGCTATACCTTTTGATTTTCCATTTAGATAAATATGACCTCATACAAGGCATTTTCGTCCACAATTGAACTGAATAGATATCCAACGATTTATCAACCATCGCGACAATTCTCGTCGATAACTTTAGACTCTGTTAATTCTATATCCGGATGGACCAGTATCGGATGTGGAGCATTAATTATCATAATATTTTTGGCTTTTCCTATTGCTATGATAGCAGTCGGTGGCTCAAACGTCAATCATTGTCCGATTGAATCCCACATCCCAATCTTTCTCATTGTTAGTGGTGTTATCGCGATTCTAGCTATGGTACTAGGAGTTGGAATCTATATATTGGTATCGAATAAGCGCTCACCTATGTGGAGTACAGCTTTAAGTTACTTAATGATTGCATTACAGTTGTTCTCCTTCGTGTGGACTATTACTGGCAGTGTATGGACGTTCGGAGTTAGTGGGTATGTACAACACAACGACAAGTCATTATCAACCTACTGTGATAAGGGCACATATCAATTTGCTTTTGCAATGCTAATTATCCAATACATATTCGATGCCCTACTATGTTGTTGTTCAATGATGACGAGAGTTTTGCGTGATAGCTGAAGAAAATTTCGAACTTGCTACAAATCAGAGCATCAACCATGGCATTGTCCTCATTCTAATAAACTATCATTTGTAAATACGAATGTATCTATATTCGATGAGATCTCTATGATCTCCACTACATACAGAAACCAAAAGCTACCTGATGAGATCTAAAATAAAGTGTGTGGGATTGTATATGTGGATTCTCTCTTCATCAATATTAATACGCAGTCACATCCTTTTGAAGCACTCTGTGTTTGAATTTTGCACTGCACTACTTCAGTGTATATTATAAATGCTAGCACTCTTCTAAATACATATAAAGATAGCAATTTTCGTGTGGTAGAAAGAAATATTGATCACATAAATTTCGTTGATGAATGCGCACAACTATAGCTAATAATGAACATCGAGATACTATGTGAAACACCCTCTATACTAACATTGCATTCTGAATCGATGATGAATTTGATCATATTTAAGATACTCACATAGATTCTATTTTGTGAAAGTTCAAACTAAACAGATAAAAAGTAAAACTCCACACGACTCTCCTAGCTAATTAATATGAACTTTTATTCTTGCTAGAAGATTTAAATGAAGTCAGCATTCGTGAGACGTGGCTATGTTACTTATACTTATTTCAATTCTATAGTACAATAATCAATTTAAGGTCACTTTCACTCATAGGTCTATTTTTGACCAGATACGTTCAAGTTGCATGAAATTCTCAGGATATGTTGAAACTGTAGGGAAGAGGTTACGCTAAAATTCACTGTGAACTCTTATTCTATAGATATTTAACTTTCTTTACTCGATGCAGTAGATCAGACTGAGTCGAAGCTTTGCAAAACTGAAACTCAGGTAATTAATCATGACAGATTCTCTTTTTTGAGCTCAATAATCAATTGCCTGGTATTGAAACAGTCAAAAATTGGTCTCAAAATTCGGAATGAAAACGGCTAGAAATATGAGCGTTTACTTGTCTATCATAGGGTTACTTTGAAGTGAAAAGTTAATTGGCACAATGTTTTCATGAAATCCTTTTTAAAATAATCACTGACAATTATTTTATATATCTGTTTTCATTCTAGTAGAAATAACGTCTCTCACATACACGATTGTTTTATTTTCTCTGACTTTATATAAGTCCAAATACTGCGAATAGAAACTAAAACAGACATATATTATTTTTCTTTATACAGCTTATTGGAATAGTCTCACTCAATGATAGAAGAATGTCTAATAATTGGATTGTCCTAAACAAATATGTTCTTCCATTTTCTTCATAATAACTATATGCGTGCAACTTGATAACTTGAATTTCAAGTACTCAGATATTTGTCTCTCATTGAGAGTACCACCAAAGAGGCCTACACAGAGCATCTCTTCCGTCAGATTAGTTGAACACTTGAATTCAACTTTAAAATTGGATACTACTAGCAATCTTATCCATTAATAGATATAGAATATAGGGACAAACCTATGTATAGTTAGGAGTATTTTAAGTAAAAGATATAATTTATGTAACTGATTAATAGTCGATTTGAAGACAAAATATAAACAAAAAAATTTTTGCGTTAAAACTAGATGATGTTTCAGTCGATGTTATCACCAACTTATCTTTTTTGTGACACACTATATGACAAAAGTGTTAAAATGTTGCAATAGAAATTTGGACTCCTCACCTCAGACACGACAGATATCCTTATGAATGCTGCTTTTTCCTGGGTCGTAAATCTTAATCGACGATGTTGATATATGATCAAATACGTCGCATCAATGCTGTCTCGTTATAGTGTATGAATTATTTCGTTTTTGTATTTGTCGAGGATTCAACAAAAGGATGATAAAGGAATACGTCCCACGACATAGAATACAATGAGCTTTCTATGATTAGTAGCAGCAACTAAATCGTGTATCACATTTTAACTCCATAGGGATCACACTAACGGATTTTTATTTAACGTACGTGATCTTAACTTGCTTAGTTCATATATAGTATATAGCTAATGCATAATTCTGTTTGAATAATATATGTACACTTAAATTTTTTTTCTTCTTCAGGTAATATCCTAGATGGTACCGGAGATATTTTATAAGCGCGCTCCTAACAATGTTAATACTTCGTTCTCAATAACTACAAGTAGAGGTGTTAGCCGCCGATTTTTCGCCGCCGCCACCGCCGAATAGAGCGCCTCAGCGGAGACATTTCGCCGCCACCGCCGATCGAATTAAAGGTCACAGTTCAAGTTTTCTCCTGTTCTAAATTATCACTTGTTGATAAAAATCAGTAATATTGCAAATTTGATCTGTGTGACAATTAGATATTGCTGAAACCAACAGAACTCTTAAAAAATAGGTAATAGGGTATTTTTTCTTGAGTGACTTATAGTCTGAAAGTCGAGCTGATAAGCAAGTATGTCTCCGTGTGATTTTGTGATGCTATCATACTTATTAGGTTCTTACTTGCTTTGGTACTTCATGCACAATAGATTCATCGCTATTAGTTTCTCCGTTTCGTCATGTTTCACTTATTCAATATGCAATTTTGACCAACTGTCTAACTCAAGTTCGAGTATAAATGAAACTAACATTGCGATTCGAATTCCAATTCCAGTAGACATCCCTGTCAGCTTAGAAAAAAATATTTAGTTTGAATTCGAATTCAAATAATAAATGGAAATAAGTCTTGCTCCTGTTCTCATTACATAGGAAAGTATCGACTTAAATTTGAATTCAAACTCCATTTTCAATGTTAGTTTCATTTATGATCTAATTGAAGCTATCATTTGCAAATTTAATTTGTATTCGAACTTGAAATAGATGGATGGTCACATTGTTGCCGTTTTGGCTTGTATCATGTGTTATTGTTGTTTGATTTGAAGATATTTTATGATGGGGCAGTGTGAGTGTTTTGAATTAATGAAAATAAAGTCATGAATAGTAGAAAAAATTTGACATAAAAAGACATAAGCGTGCTAAGAGGAAAACAGCATTATAATTTTGTGAAAAGAGAACATCTAATGTTTGCTTCAATAGTAGGGACCCATGAAAGACCCTGTGAAGTAACATATAACAAATTTTATCATCGCCACTGCCGCCGCCGAAAATCGTCTTCTCGGCGAGAGCTCCTCGCCGCCGCCGCCGCCGATCATATGATCGGCTAACACCTCTAACTACAAGTATATGTAGAAGGATTTGTATCTTTCTGAAAAGCCAAAGAAAAAGGCTCTAACAATTGCTGCCTATTGAAAATGATTTGAATTTCTTGCCGTTATCGATGGTAATAATGATGTAAATAAGAAATTTAATAATTTTGTTTCATGCAGTGAATGTTTGCTTTTTATGTTTTATCAAAAAAAAAAAAGAGCGATTGTTGTTGTTTTTTATTGTTATATGTTCATGTTTTTCGATGTAGTCTATGAGTTTTTGATTTTATGAAGTAAAATAGTAATTAGAAAAGTCAAATAAAAAAATTTTTGACAATATTAGTGTGTAAGACTTTGTCTATGAGAAAAATCCATTTATGGCCTATTTACAAAAAAACTTATCAAGTTTTTCGTTCTATCAAGCAAAGAATAAAATCCAAAGACGTGTAATTTCATCACCATTTGTCATATATTATTTCTTTCTATGTGAAAAGTATTGAAACAAGTTTGTTATGACTCATTCTATTGATGTTTTTAGTCAGCTATCTTACATAAGAATTTTGTTTCTGCAAAGTTGAATATTATAAAACAATCGAAATAAACAAAAAGAACCTTTGATCTACAATAATTAAACATGATTATTAAAACTATGATGGAAGATTTACCAATCGAATTATGGTTAGATATATTCACTTATTTAAATATTCAAGAACGATTTAATGGATTTTTTAATCTTAATCAACGAATAAATCGAATTCTATTTAATTATCATCATCATATTAACTTAAAAGATAATGATGAAAATAGTCAATTTTTATTTGAACATATTTTACCACAATTACCACATCCTCAATCTATTTCAAGTTTAAGATTGCAAAATATTAATAAGGTTAGTTTTATAATTTTCATATAATTCGAATGTTACCTTTATATGGAGAACAATATTAAATTCGATAGCAAAAAAATAGAACGAGAAACATTGCCTGTTAAAAGATGTGCACTCTCAAAAAGAACAAAGTCATGTTCAATGAGTAAGATGCTCACATATAAAGGGTGTTCCATAATAACTGACGATAAATTGTTATTCATATTTTTCATACTTTTTCTTGACATAGAGGGCTGAAATTTTTATCACCTATATATCTAATGAAGATCCTCTGTTTCTGAAAGTTTCAGGTCTCTAGCTATAACTACTGGTGAAATACATCGACAACATTCGAATACATGAATTTTCGTAATCGACCTAGCGGGGCAGTTACATAGGTAGTTAACCAAAAACTCACAAAGTATTCAGAAAATTTTCTTTCGTATCAGAATTTGTAGAGCTTTTTCTGCTGATCATTTTGGTAAAAACATGTTTCGAATTTCATTGAGAAATGACGATGTTATAGTCAAAATATTTATCGCAAAAAATAGAAGATGTCAGATTTTTTTCATAAAAATATCGCATACAATGTTCAATCGAGAATTATTAATCCTATTTGCTTATATTTCAGAAACGGACTATAGGATCTTGTAGAGCAAGGTTTCCTCTACAAAACCTACTAAGTTACATTTCTCCAGAATATAGCCACATTTTGAGATATACGAATCGACTTCCTTACGCTTTAACCTATTTTAAAGTGTTTAGTATTTTGCCTATAACATCGTCATTTCTCAATGAAATTGGAAAAGTTTTTTTACCAGAATGATCAGCGGGAAAAGCTCTACAAATTCTGATACGAAAAAAAATTTTCTGAACAGTTTGTAATTTTTTGGTTAACTACTCATGAAAATATCCAGCAACATTTTCACAATAAAAAGTATTGAAAAATCGATTTCGAAAATTTATATATATGAATGTTGTTAATGTATTTCACCAGTAGTTATAGCTAGAGACCTGAAACTTTCAGAAACAGAAGATCTTCATTAGATATATAGGTGATAAAAATTTCAGCCCTCTATGTCAAGAAAAAGTATGAAAAATATGAATAACAATTTATCGTCAGTTATTATGGAACACCCTTTATGTATATCTAATCATAAGCAGACAATATAAAATATCAACAAATTAAATACAAAAATATCGGTGTAGTTCTTCATTTCATCTACAATTCGCACCAGGAATATTCATCACCATTGGAAATGTGCCGTTGTCATGCCGCTATTTTAGAAGAGAGAAGTTTACTGCATCGTTGCCGTAATGGTTATCGATATTCTGAATGTTGGACTTGTAGTCACTCAAATAGGATAGAAAATCATGCAGTTGTATAAACTTCCTAAAAGAAAAAGTTGCTATGAACATCTCTGCTTCACACTTGTTTTGACTGAATCAATCCCTTCACATAGAATATCACATATTTAGACTCTGATTCGTAACTGATCTAGGTAAATTTGAGATTGAACGCTAACATAAACAAAAAGCAATTAGTAAATATCTTTTATAATTTTATGTAGACTCATTTGAGAATAGGTTATTAAGTGTAAATATTTTACTAATAAATTTTTGATATAGATGAACTTATTCAAAAATGCCAAACGATTACATTTTCCTTATCTTAAATCTCTAACACTTTGTTGTTTATATATTACAAATGATATTCTTGATTTAATTTATTTTCATGCTCATCAACTTGAACATTTGAATGCGACTTTGTTTATATCAAGTAAATGGAATATACTTCTGAAATTAATTTTATCATTACCTAAATTACATACATGTTATCTATATCTCGGTATTGGTTTATGTCCTATTAAATCATCAATAAGTCCTATAAAACATTTGACTTTACTTGGTTCATTTCAATCTTGTTGTATGAAGAATCTTGATGTTCTTTTTTCTTATCTTCCTTATTTACATTCATTACATATTGAATGTGATCGATTGAAATTCACAAAAATTATTCAAAATCAGTATTCTAACAAATTATTATCTCTTTCGAATTTTTCTCTTCAAATTAATCAATTACCAGAATTATTTATTGATCTAATCGATTTTATAACAACAACAATGCCACATATAGAAAAACTAAAAATTAAATGTTGTACTCCATTAAAAAATTTAGTCTATATTAATGTTTATCAATGGATGAAAGCAATTGATTTATTAATTTCCTTAAAAGAATTAATATTAATTATTACACTTGGAACAACAATTAAACAACAAGTTTGGAATAGACGAATTGAACAATTAATAAAATTTACTAATATGAGACATATTACCTTAAGAATCATTTCATCAACAGAACATAAAAAATAGTATTATCTGTTTTCATTTTTTTTTTCTTTATACATATATAAAAAGAAAACGTCTGTTGCTAAGTAACAATAAAAGAAAAGTAAATGGAATTCTCGAGTTTTTTTTTTTCATTGTTTTCATTTTTTGAATCAACGACATGTCTCTTTCACATACATTTGAAACCTTAGGAAAAGATATAACAAATCTTCAATTAAATTTTTCACAAATATTAACATCTGGTTGTCATTATAATACAATAGAAATAATTAATCATATAAAAAATATTAATAATGCATTGGATAATATTAAACTTGATTATGAACTTCAACGTGGATCGAAAAATTCGACTAAAAAAATTGATTCAAATGAAATGAGTAACTAAAACGAATTTATTTTAAATAAATCTTATTTTTAATATAGATATTAAACAATTAATCTCAAAAGGAAATGAACTTAGTCAAGAACTGAATACTCGTCTTCATACAATGACGATTAAAAATAAAGAACATAATCAAATACGTGAAATACATAATTGGACATGTGAGTTTCATCAATTTTCATTTTTTTTTTAAATAAAATTATTCTTTATAGGTACTTCATTACTTGAATATCTTCAAGTAAAATTTCGTTGTTGTTTTTATTCTTAATTTTTCTTGAAATAAGATTAATTTTTTTCTAGAGTCTTTATCCATATGCATCTGGTTCCTATACTCGATTAGATAATTTAGCACATGATCTTGGTGTTACTGATCGTTATGTTGGTTATCGAAATAACTTAACTCGTTATGGAAATCAACCAGTAACTGTTCATACTATTTGGGCTGATCGAAAATTACCTCGATCATCAACACCTGATTGGAAAGATTTGACTCATTCTTTTCAATGTAATAGAGAAAAAATTTATTCTTATTGGAAAAGATAATATTCTATTTAGATAATAATTTATCAAAGGCTACTGTTGAACAAACATCAAATTATAATCAAAATGTTCTTAATTCTATAGAAACAACACACCCAACAGGTTTTTTTATATTTTTTAAATTTCAAAAAAAAACTATAACCATTGAATTTTACGAACATATTATGATTTATTCATAGAAATTCAACATTTTAATACAACAAAAAATATCACAACACAATCATTTGTCTATGCTAATGATTATAATACACATTTGAATAAAGCAGGACTGAATATAAACTATCCAGGTTAATATTTTAATTTTTCTAATTAAGATAAATGATTTCTTGTTTGTTTTTTTAATATGAATAGGTAAAACAGAATCTGCGATTAGTTTTACAAAACCAGAAGAGATATCTTCTTCTCTATCTTTGCCTGTTGCACAACCTGATTATACTTTACCCGGACGACCATTAGCTCATCTTGTGCCTGGATCAATTGCTACTGAATATATTCAAAGGTACAATAAATTTACTAAGCAAATGAACTTTTCTTTCTTTTTTTCTCTTGTAAATTTTTAGTTATACATATCCTGATGCAGCAAAAGTTGAAAGATATCCATGGCTTCGTCCATATTAAATAAACACGATGAAAAACAAACAATATACAAAAAAAAAACTTTATTTTTCAAATAGAATCGTTGTAATCGATTAAGTTTCAAACAATGATGTTAACCATAAAATGATCATACTTGACTATCGTCTATTGAAACTGAAAATAATAGAATAAATAGAAATATAAAAATGATTTGTTTCATTATACCAACTCATAATTGAATGAAAAAAAGTTCTATATGAAATAAATATCGTTTATGTAAGATATTGTGTTTGTCGTAGTTTTATGAAACACAACCTAAAAGAAAGATTGAAATATATATACAGTATATATTTACAAATACTTCAATCAAACGTTGTACGTTTCATAACTATCAAAGAAGCTAAAAAAAAGAATATACATTTATTCTTGACAGTAACTAAAACATTATAATTTATCATTAAAATTGTTTAAGGCCACCCCCCCCCTCAAAAATCGATCTCAGCCCAGGTATGTTCAAATGGGC